TCTGATCTGCAGCCAGTGTTGAGGGCCATGGACACAGATACTAAGAGCTTGGGATGCAGGGGCAGACAAACCTGGGTTCAAATCTTGCCCTGCTGCCTAGCAAACTCTATGACCTTGAGAACTTGTAAATCTCTCTGAGCCTCAGTTTCTTTATAAAATGGGTACACTAATAACCCTTCCCTCCTAGGGCTGTTGTGAGGAGTTAGTGAGATAATACAGGCAAAGGGCTTGACACAGTGCCAGGCACCTAGAAGGTGCCCCTTCGCCTGCCCAGCGTTGGTCTTAAAGGGCCAGCTGTGCCGGCCTCTCCATACTCAGCAGAACACCCACTCAGTCAGACCTGGTGACTCCTGCCCCCTGCAGGCCAGCCCTGAGCACAGCACCCGCCTGCCGACCTTGGAATATGCCTGTCCTTGGAAGCAGGAGACAGGAGACAGCAAAATCAGGCCCCCGTGGAAAAGTCGTGCACTCTGAATAAATCCCATCCTTCTTTACAGGGAAGGATGCTGACCCTAGGTTGAGGCTGAAGGCAGCAAGGGACTCAGGGATTCAAACTCAGAGCTTCGCTTAAGCTATTTGGGGCAGGGCAGGGCAGGCCGTGGTGGTCCCGAGGGACAGGGATAACTGGTATCTAGAGGGGGCAGCTGAGCAGCTGGCTTGACCTTTAGCAGCAAGTTTTTAAAAGGGCTGAACAGTAGGGGCTTCTCTAAGGAGCAAAGCACATGACGTAGCCCCACGTTCCCGCCCCTCTTCACTGGGGCAGCAGCCCCTGGGCTTCCAGAAGCCTACACTTGGAGTTCTGGAATGGAATAATAGGACCAGAGGGATGAGAAGGATAAACCCACTGCTGATTATTCCTGATTAGGAGGGAGGCTGGCCTCCAGCCCTAATCAGTTCTATCACCAGTGTTCAGACTTGGATGACAGCCCAGGGTGAACGCACTCAGGGAAAGCTGGGTCGTAACCTGAGAGGTGCTTTGTGGATGCTTCTGACAAATAGGAAACACTCTTATGTGACTTCCCACCCAACCAGTTCTTTAGAGATCACAGTCCTGCCATTTACTTGTTGTGTGGCCTTTGGACAAGCCACTTCCCCTCTCTTGAGACTGTCTCCTCATCTCTAAAATCGGGGATGATAATGCCAACCTTCACAGGTGGCTGAGAAGATACTTGGGCAATTGTTTAGTGAGCTCTTGACTGAGGTCTCAAGCACCCTTGCTGCTTCCCCCAAACAGCTAAAGGCAAACGCAGCTGTCTGGGAGGACTCCACAGGATTGATATCAACCACAAGCTGACCTTCTCTTTCCCTTTCCCCAGGCCCCAGGGGAAAAGCAATAGGGGCTTTTTGCCCAAGTAGGGAGAGACTTTGCAGGGCCGGAGTGAATACGGTACACAGCCCTCTAAGCTATAGGAACTAAGAAACTTCTGCAGACCTGAGGCTGGAGATACTGGTCATTCACCCGTTAGATACTGTGATCTTGTTATGTGCAAAGCAGCTTGGGAATTGGGCTAGACTATTCAAATCAGAAGAGATGTTGCTAGAGCTAGAAAAAGGGGAAGGATGGGACAGAGATGTGGGTTTTATACACATCTGCCTCCGCTACAAGGGGTGTTTCTTCCCCAGCTTAGAGTAAGGAGCAGAAAAACTGTTCTTAAAATAGTTTTACAAGACCCAATGCCAAGAGTTGCCCCAAATCATGCCTATTCTGAGTTAATGTCTGATATCACATCTCTCTTGGCCGCTGGGTGGCATGTCCTTAGCTGGCCACAAAGAGGGTCCTAGGGAAGGTCCCTTGTCATTCAGCTCCTACCTTTAATGGCCTTTCTCACCTTGCTCAGAGACAGCTTTCAAAGTACCTTACACAGGCCCACATTCAGACAGTTACTTTACTAACAATAACATTAATGCAGGCTACCGTTTTTTTCCAGAACATACTGGAGCCAGTCCATTTGATATCCTTAATCTTGTGTGACCCTCGTTAATAGCTCTGCAAGGTAGTTTTTGTCAATCTCATTTCTGGATGAACAAACCCAGGCCAGAGAAAGAGAGAGAGGAGAACAGGCCCCAAGATCACAGCAATGGGAAGTGACAGAGCGGGGACTGGAACCTACATCTCTACTTTCTCCCAAGCTACCATTCTATGGCTTCGACTCAAAACCACACCATTTGCCTGCAGGCAGTAAGGATGCTCTGGGAGGTCACTGAAAGAATCTTAATTCCTGTTCCCCCTAACATGGGAGTCTATCTCGGTCCCTTCAGTGTCACTTTGAGCCCTGGCTCTCCCTGACTCTAGTACAAATGGAAGGAAGAAGGTCTCGGACAGCACTTGGTAGTTAATCAGCAATAACAACAACAACAACAACAACAACAACAACAACAACAATAATAACTAATATCAATGAAGCCCTTGCTCTGGACCATGCACTGGCCAAAATCTGTACATATCTCCATGTCCCATTTAATTCCCCCAAACCCAGTGAGGTACTACGATCTTCCCTATTTTGCAGATAAAGAAACAGAGGCTTTATGAGGTTAAGCGATTCACTTAAGGTTAAAAAAAAAAAAAAAGAACTTGGGAGACATGAGAAAAAGACCTCCCAGGACTATATTTTGCCCTAAACAGATTCTATCCAAAGGTTTCCATATTCAGAACCTGTGTCCCTTCTCTTGGTCCTGGCCCTGTCTCTAAGAACAGAAATCTCAATACAAAGAGACGGGAAGGAAAGACTAATTTCCCTCTGTCTCAGTGTCTCAGGAGACTGGAGACTCTGACCCAAAAGTCCCAGGCTGTGTTCTGTTGTCATTGCCGCTGCTGTTCAAGCAGATGCCTCAGAGCTGTTAGCAGGAAGCCCAAACCGAATGTGCTGAGCTTTACAGAAAAAGTCTATAGCTCCATAGTCAAGAGCTTCCAGAGGGAGGTGGTAAATATTTGATGGGACCTTCCAGCTCTTCCTGACTCAGGTGACCCTGGTGACATTTCAGAATACTGGGCTGGGGAATAGTCTTCATTTTTTTTTAAAGATTTTATTTATTTATTGGACAGAGAGAGAGGGAACAGAAGCAGCGGGAGAAGGAGAGGGAGAAGCAGGCTTCCCGCTGAGCAGGGAGCCCAATGTGGGGCTCGATCCCAGGACCCTGAGACCATGACCTGAGCCGAAGGCAGACGCTTAACGACTGAGCCACCCAGGCGCCCCTGGAGAATAGTCTTCATTAATGACTAAGAAAGTAGAAGGAGGAAGAAAAGCAGGTAGCTGAAATGCTCTGAGCTCACAAAGGGCCCATGCAGGCAAATTCTGTTAAGACTGGAAAAAGAAGAGGCTCTTTTTCTAGGAACGAAGTCATATTCGCAGCAAAATGAATAACCAGAAAGTGAGTGATTCTGGGCCAGTGACTCACCCTTATAAACTGCTAGATTGTAAGCTCCAAAACAGCCAGAAGCCCGGCTGTTGTGTCCACTGGTGTCTCCCTCGTGCCCCACAAATACCTGGGCAAAGTAGATGCCCCCAAATATCTGATAGATGTATGACTAGATGTCACCGATTCCATGACCCAGACCCACTCCACAGACCACTGCCCGAACACCCCACACCACCTGCCAAATACATAAGCCACTGCAGTGAACTTCCACCTCAACACGTTGCTGCGCTCAACACTCTCAAAGCTCTGCCTCCAAATCTCTACTCTGAAGAACTGCTTCCAGCTAACTCGGCTAACGAGGGCTCCCCACAGGAACAAAGCCACACATTGCTGCCCTATCACACCACACAGCAGCCCCATGCAACCCGAATCCACGTGTAGCTCCTTCATGTCAGACCTCCACCGGCCTCAGCCGCCACGGAGTAGTATTTTGAAAAGGAATGTGCAGATCTGAGGCAGAATACACACACGGCCTCCTTGGAATTCTGATCCCGCATGGCGAGCCAGGAGCTTGAAACAGCTTCTCTACACTACATCCCAGCACAGAACCACTCAGGGCCCTCTCTTCCTCCACACACCATGCAAACTCTGCCATCAGACCCCTGCATTACTCCCCTCCCCGGCTGCCGCAGAACGGTCTCAACGCTGTGCTAGTGAGTTTGAATTAATTATGGACTCAGAACTAGAGGCAACCCTGGCTTTGCTCGGGAGTTCACAGGTTCTTTTCCGCGAACCTCTCTCCCCAGCAGTGCACCCCAGACTGGAGACGTGGATTAGAGGACAGATGCTCAGCTGCCCGGGACCCTTAAGAGAAAGACCTAGAGGAAACGAGTGTAGCCACTGGTGAACCCTTAGTGACCTTTCTGACCCTAGAACGCACATCGACTCAGGCTAGGGTGTTATTTCACGTCCTACGACCTGACAACTGCCCAACCGCCATCCCAGTGACATCCCTGGAGTGACAACCTCCTTAAAACACCCCTGAAGTTCCGATTTGAGCCATAGCTCTGTGTAGCCCCTCCGTGCTACCCAGACACTTCTCTTTTCTCATATTTTTGAGTCTCCATCTAGCTCTCCTAACTTTTCCCAGGTCTCTGGGGCCACCACAGCCCGTGACCAGCGTCCCCCATCCCCAAGCAAGGCTGTGTGTCCCGAGGTAGCCATTCTTGAGCCCCCTAACTCCAAACCCCTTGCTCCTTTGGGTGGCTCACTGGCAGTCTTGGCTGGAGACCAGAGGAGTGGATTTGGCGCCACCTGCTCGGAGCGCCCCTGCTGACCCCTGCAAATCTCCAGACGGCTTGCGGCGGTCGTTCCCTTCCAGGACTGGCCTATTCTGGCAGGTGGAGGGCGGCGAGGCGCTGGTGCTTCGCCCAGGAGAGGCCCGGAGCGTGGACAGCGCACAGGGTGCTGAATCAGGCACCGGGGGTGGGGAGGAGGAGTGCCGGCCAGGGCGCAGGGCTGCGGAAGGACTACGGGGAGTGTAACCCGGGGCCGCGGGCAGCGGGAGGAGGACTGTGGGCGCGCAGCCGCGCAGGGTCCCGAGCGCCTTGCCCGGGAGCGCGGGCGGGAGGCGCGGCCCTTACCTGGCCGAAGGCGGAGCTGAGCATGGGGCGCAGCTGGTGGAGGAACGGGTCTGCCTCGGACGCGGCGGCTGGAGCGGAGTCCCCGCGACCCGGGGCTCTCAGCGAGCCCCGGAGGCCGAGCGCCGGGGACAGACCCCGTTCCTCCCCATCCCGCCCGCGGGCCGGCGGCAGCGGCGACGGCGGCGAAGGTCGGGACGCCGCGGTCGGCAGCGCCTCCCGGGGCCTGCAGTGCGCCTGGGGGAGCCCGCGCCTGCTCCCCTGCGCTCCCTCCTCTCGCGGCGCCGGCCGGCACAGGGGCCTCCGCGAACTGGGGTCCCCGGACGGCGGCGGCGTGCCGGGGCCGGTGCCGGGCAGCCGGCGGCCAGGCAGCCCTGGCTCCCGGGCAGGGCCGTGGCGGGGAACCCGGCTGCCCCCGCTCGCCGCCGCCGCCTTCAGCAGCGACGTCTTGGACTCGCTTTTGGCGATGTGCGAGCTCATCGCGGCGGGGCCCGCGCTCGCATGGCCCGGCGGGGGCGGCGCGGTGCGGCGCGGCGCGGGGCCCCCGGCGGGCAGAGAGCGGGGCGCCCGGCGGGAGCCAAGCCCGAGGACGCGCTGGAGGCGGGCGCCGTCCCCCGGCCGCTTAAATGCGGCCCCGTCGCCGCCGCCCATGTGACAGCGCAGCCTCTACGCCCGGAGCCCCGAGCTTCCCGGCGGCTGGCGGTGCGGATCTGGGGGGGCCGCCGGCTGTCCCCGGAGAGCCCACCCCCGGCTCCTCGGCGGCCCAGGTACCGCCGCGCACCGCCCCTTTCCCCGCCCCGCGCTCGAGGAGCCCCGCTTCCGGGCGGCCCCTGGCGGCGGAGGGGGCACTGCGGCGCGTCGCCGGGGGCGCTGGGGCAGGGGCTTGGCGAATGGCCCCAAAGATGCTCGGACCTTGGTGGCCCGCAGTGCCTCTTAACACGCCCGGAGGTTCCCACAGTGACCCGGAGCCGCCGAAAGCTCCAGAAATGCGGGCGGGGTGCATGCCCCAGGGGGTACAACTTTGGAAATGAGAGAGGTGCAGTAAACTGGCGACCTAAGGAGGAGGAAGGCACTCTATGACGGCACTACGTGCAGACACCGGAGCCAGAATGGCGTGGAAGGACGCTGCTGGAAGGAGTGTCTGTGGGGTACTTCATCCACTCCAGTACCGCGGAGTGCGACCAGGATGACCCTGGTACATCAGCCAGAGAATTCAGTTTTCAAAACAGAAGAGAAGCCAGGTGGCATCTGTATAACCAGGACTTTGCAGGGCCTGGTGATGATCAAGTTTCAGGTAGGACCCATTTGCTGCCCCTCCAGCTGTTGCCCCCCCGCCCCGCACCCCACCTCCGTCCTTCTAGATGTTAGAGAAATCCTTGCTCTTGGTGGGCAGCCAGGGAGTCACACAGGCCTGGTTGGAATCTCAGATCCTAGTTCTGCCACTTACCGTCTTGGGCAAGTGTCATCAACCTCTCTGAACCTGGTTTTTCTCTTCTCTGAGATGCAGGTAACAATCCTAACCAACTCTTGGTAACATCCAATGACACCATGCACATAAAAGGCCTGGCTCAGTACTTGAAACAGAGCCCACGGGCAGTTAACCTAGTTAGTTCCCTTCCCTCTGCACCTTATGAGGCCCCATCTACCACTCTTGTCTAGTAATGGGATACTTGAGATTTGAGGGGGGGATGGGGTGTGAACCTCCCAGGCTCTCCCTGTTCTGGTCTCTGGCCCTGATGCCATCCATGCATGAGAATCGGGCAAATCTGGTCACCGCTTGGCCTTAAGAGGACAGATGGACAGATTGCCAATATGCTACACTTCACCCGTGCCAAGGGTTCACCCTCCTCTGCACTGCCTGCTTCTTTTACATCCCCATATGCAAGGAATTAAGAACAACAAACAAAATGGGCAGGAAAACCAACTGCCAGAGGCCAAAGTGGACACGAAAAGTGTGGCAAATTGTTCCCCAGCTCACCTAGAAGGGACCGAACTGCCATATCAAAGCCACTCAGGTTCCTAAAGCACAAACACTAAGGCAGGCTGGGGTGCAGCCGCCCAGAAGCCTCATTGCAATATCCAACTCCGATACGAAGGGTGTAAAGGGCCCACCCTCTCAGAGTTTGGGGTCAATCAATGTTCCACCTGTTCCAGCCCTCAGAATAATCTGTGTTCAGTGGGATTAAGAGCAAGTGTACATTCTGTATAAATCACAGGAGATAGAATACCTTATCAGAATCCGTCAGGAGCTGACAAGAGGCAGTGGGGCAGAAGGGTATTCAAAGTCCCTGCTGTGCCACCCTTGGTTGTCTTTCTGAAATTCCCTAAGTATTCTTGGGCAGGACCTCTGTCAACAACCAATTTCTGAAAAAAGTGAGGAACCTGGGTGCATCACCTATGATATTAAATAAAAGCAAGATTATGTTCATGGACCAAATGGATGAAACACTTGCACTCAGATCCTGGGTCATCCTGGATATATGCCAAGATTCCATGTCATTTGTAAAATTTGCTAATTTGTTCATCCACTTAAGGATTTCTAGAACAAGACACCATGTTAAACACCTGGGATGCAAAGATTCATCCATTCATTCAATGAACACTTGAGTGCCTGTTATTTGCCAGGCACTGTTCTAGATGCGAGAGACATAATGAGAAACAAAACAGTCTCTCTCCTCAGCGACAACTGAACAACTACATAAATGCATGGGAAATTAATGGCGACAACTGGTGGCGTTTAGTGTGAAGAGAAATAAAGCAGGTAAGACAGGAGGGCATAATGGAGGGTGCTCTTTTAGACAGTGATTAGGGAGGGCCTCTCTGGGGAGGGGACATCTGAGCAGGGACCACAGTGAAGTAAAGGAACAAGCCATGCATATATCCAGGGGAAGAGCTTTCCTGGCAGAGGGGAGATGGTTCCTAAGTCCCAAGGAGAAAACAGCTTGGCATATTCAAGGAGAAGCAAAGAGACAAATGGGGCTGGAGTGAGCAAGGGGGAGAATGGTACAGATGAAATTAGAGGGGAAGGCAGGGGCCAGACAGCCAAGGGCTTTGGGTTTTTTCTAAGTGTGAAGGGAAGCCACTAGCGGGTTTGTGGTAGAGGAGTGGCATATGATTGTTTACATTGTTAAAGGACAATTGGCTGCTTTGCAGCAGGTCCTCTGTTGGACAGCAGTGTGGCAACATGCATCTGGTCAGGTGCTGTCACATGGAACAGGTGAGAGAGGTTGGCGGCTTAACTCGAATGACTGGTGGGGGAGGTGGTGAGAAGTGGTCAGATTCGGGAGATATCTAAGGAATGATGGTGAGATTCAGTCCCTGCTCTCAAGGAATTTACAGAAAAATCAAAAGAGGATGAAAGCCACTATAATGTAATGGGAAACAGGCAATAAGGGAATGACAAGCTGGGTAGGAGAGCACCAAAACAGGCCCTTTAGGGGGAGCTGGAGAAGGTGACATTTGAGCTGTGTTTGGAGAAGTGAAATTCCACCAGGTGAATAAAGAAGGTAAAAGGAAGGCCATTCCAGGCAGAGGGAACAGCTTCAGTGAAGGTTTGGGAGCATGAGCCTGCATGGAGTGTTTGGGAATCCTATGGGGGCGGGCGGGGGCGAGGGTGGAGGGCGGTGGACAAGGGCTAGACTAGCCTGGAAAGGTGCTTGGAACTAGACTGTGAAGGAATTTGGATGTGACATTCAGTAGTGTGTCCTTTATTCTACCAACGACAGAGAGTTCTTGAAGGTTTTACAAGTATGTACATGACACAGGTAGAACTGTGTTCTGATGCATCATGGAGTGGACTAGAGGACCCTAGCGAATTAGGTCCATTGATTTCACAAAAATGAGTGAGTGCCCACCATGTGCCCCGTGTGCATCAGGAAGAGAGCAACAGATAAATGGCCATCGTGCCTTTCTTTATGGATTTTAAGTCTGGTGGGGAGGTAATAAGGACTAAATGTAGAGGTGGGGTCAGATTCAGGAAATATTTCAGAAATACCACCATTAAGACAGGGAAAGTTCTGGATGTAGAAAATGAGAATGGCTTACCTTTCTGATTGTGAGCTACAATGGGAACACAGTTACTGCCAAGTATCCTGTCTCGGAGAAATAGTTTTTAAATGCTCTATATGGATTATATACACCTTTAGAGCTTCAAGAGCATTTTCAGATAAAACGTCTCACTTGCCCTTAAACAAATTGTAATCATTAAATAGTTATATGTTGTAATATTATTTGACTGCATAACCCTTGGTCAAAGCGATGTGAAAGAAGAGCTGTTTTGGAGCACTGGGAAGACCTCCCGGCATACGAAGGCAGTTAATTCGAGAAGATGGGTCTGAGACCGTGGCAGCCGTGTAGAGGGCACAGTGTGTTTAGCTGTCTGTGTGTCTTATTTCTAAAAGAATCCATTCAGAAGGAGTAAGGCAGGGTTGAAGGCAAAATTCTGAAAAATGTACATGGGTCTCTCCTTTAACACTTTCTACCCTGATAATGTCACGTCCCTGTAGCAAACTCCTCTAAAAAAACTGTTCCTCCCTGACCAGGACTGTGCGTCATATTTAGAGTCTAGAAAAAGGTTGTGGAGCGTTTGCACAGTGGTGCTTGAATTAATTCTCCATGACGTTTCTTGTCTAGCTCGTTCCTTTCTGCTGTTGTCAGAATCAAATTCCGCACTTAATCTCTCCCTTGTTTTCAGATGACAAAATCTCTGTTAGGTTTCAGAAAGCTGGGATTACAAAATGTTCTTATGGCTTTAAGTCCTCTATGGTGATTGGGGAACTCAGGAAAGGATTGGATGAGAATTTTTTGTTGTTGTTTTTCACGGGGAGGGGGCAGCCGGTGGACTGAATAGGGGATTCCTTTCCAGAAATCTGCCTTTGGACCCAAATGTTCATCACTTAAGAGGATTCCAAAATTTTTAAAATAAAATGAAAAAGGATGTGGGTTATAGGAATATATGCATATGTCAAAACTGAATTGTACACAAGACTGTACATCTTACCATGTATACATCATAACTCAATAAAAACATCAATCAAACAAGCAGGAACAGAGAGAGCAAAAATCATTAGTACTGCCAAGTAGAACCAACTACTGGACCGTCTTAGGGATATAATTACGATTTTCAAAATTGTAGCAACTGCACTCTGTTGGTTAAGAGCCTCTGACACTGAGGCCAAGGTTGTCATGAGCTGATTCCTATGTAGGCCACTAGCTCTCCATGATTTTGTGGGTGCAGTTTGTACCACTCATCCTAGCTAGCAAATTCTGTATGTATTTGTTTCCTGGTTTCAAGGACAAAGAAGAGAGAGAGCACAGATGAGGGAAATTCTGTCCGCTCCAGAGGACTAGTCAGAAGTTACCATCTTTATTATTATTATTATTATTATTATTATTATTATTGAAGTATAGTTGACCCCCAACGTTATGTGAGTTTCAGGCGTACAACAGTGATTCGACAAGTCTACACGTTATGCTGTGCTCACCGCGAATGTAGCTACCCGCTGCCATCAGACAAGGCCATTGCCCTTCCACTGATCATATTCCCTGTGCTGTGCCTTTCATCCCTGTGACTGAGTTCATTCCAGAACTGGCTACCATCCTCTAAATACAGCATATCTGATCTCCAAATGATAGAACATATCAGGACCATT